GGCCCAGAATGAGTTCCCTACATCTCCTCATGAATGCTGTTGGCTCTGGCAAAATGAGGGTTATCCTTCTAAAGCTGGGATAGGCAAAAATACAGACAGATCCAGTCCTCCAGGTGACTGGATCCAGCCCGCAGATGCACCCATGGCACTCAACTTGGGGCCAAGGCCCACCTGCTTGCACAGCGGGAGCCCACACCAAGCTCCCGCCTGCAGCCCAGCCAGCATGCACAGTTTTCAGTGGGGTTGTTCTCGGTGTGGCTGCAGCCGGGTGCTGCTCTAATCGCCCTGTCTTCAGTGGCTGTTCCTTCTCCTGATCTTGCCCCAGGTGAGCAGCTTCAAGTGACTGGAAGCTGAAGCTGGAGCCCTGTGCACAGAGGCAGGAGCCACCTGGCTGAAGCTGCTCACCCACCTGTCTCCTCACTGGGAGCAGCATGGCTGGGAAAGGAGCAGGAGTTGCTGCTGGAGGTGAAGAGAGCAGAATAACACCCAGCTGCAGCCACACTGGGGACAGCTTTGCTGGAAGCTGCTCTGGAACTTGCTCCTGTAACGCCGTGGCACACCACTTCAGGTGGCCAGGCAGCTTCAGCCAGGTGGCTCCTGCCCCAGTGCATGGGGCTCTAGCTTCAGCTCCTGGCTGCCTTCCCAGGAGCTGGAGTCCAAGCCCTGCGTGATGGGGCAGGAGCCGCCCAGCTAAAGCTGCTCACCTGCCCACCCACCCAGAGTGGCGCAGCACGGTAGGGGCAAGATCAGGAGAAGGAGCTGCCACTGGAATTGCGGGGAACAGAACAGCACTCAGCTGGGTGAGCTTTGCTGCATGCACACCTGCGTTCCCCTCCCCTCACCCATGGCAGGCTTCTGGGACCTAGCATCATCCAGGCAGCCTCTCTCCCACACATACACACATACATACATGTTCTCCCTGCCCCCCCTTCCCTCCCCCCACATCCCACACTGCCTTGCAACTTGGCCCCATGATCCTGGCCTCGCCTGCCCTTCCTGCTCCTGAACAGTGCTCCCTACCTGCCCACAGCCCCATAGGAAGTTTTGCTGAGATGTTGTGGCATGGGGGGGGCTGAGCCGGCTCCTGACAGCTCATCAAAACTCCCCATGTGGTCCTTAGGCCCAAATAATTGCCCCGCCCCAGTCTAAGGCATTGGGAGGCTGCCCATAACTAAGGCTGCTGTTCTGCCTGGGTTGCACTGATACTTCTGTTGGTACTTAGAAAACTCAGGGGTTCCTGGCAGAGGATCTTGCTCTTCCGCTCAGGGTCATTTCCATTGCCAGATTCAAGGTCAGGAAAGAATTTTTCCAGTAGATTGCATTGGCATAGATTGGGACATGGAGGATTGTGTTGCTTTGTAGCATATGTCATGGTCTTCTGCCTTGGATCCAGTAAGCAGCTATTAACCAGTTCCTTCCTGGCTGGTGTACACATCTTCCTGCTTCTATCCATGGCATGTTTTATAGCAGGGGCAGGCAATTATTTTGGGCAGAGGGCCGCTTAATGAGTTTTGGCAAGCCATCAAGGGCTGCATAACAGGCAGCCCAGGGCAGATAAAAAATTTAGAAAATTAATATTTAGGGGCCCTGCAGGCCCAATAGAATGGCCTGGCAGGCCGCAGCCAGCCCCCAGGCCGCATTTTACTCACCCCTGTTTTATAGGCTTTAGAGTTTTGTTTGTTTCATGTTTATTCCTTATAGTTCTGCGTGAGGTTTGGAAGTGATGATGCTGGGGATTCCTTGGGTTAACACTTGCCTGCAAACATAGGGATTTGGGTTTGATGGCCCAGGAAGCCCTGTGCAGCCCTGTGTTCCCATGAAGCAGTGGCTGATGGTAGCCACTAATAAAGTTCGGTTACACCCCATCTCAGCTCTGCCCACCTTCCCAGTACAGTTTAGTATACTAACAACTTGAGTGACTGCCCAGATAGGATAAAGCATAGTGAAGAAATGGGGATGCACAGAGCTCGAGACCAGGGGAATGAGAAATGCGTGGTATGATGGTGGACTAGGAGGGGTTTAGTAAGTCTTGAAAAGGAGAGGGATTGGAGGGTGCACACAGGTAGCCTGTGGAGGGAACAGAGAGAGACAGTGTTTCAGGAGGGCTGCAGTGAGCACAGCCTGCAGGAACTTCTGTGCATGATCACTAGTTATGTACGCTAGGAAAACTGTGAAGCTTGGAGCCCAGGCTGCTTCTGAGACACAGGAGAAATATAATCTCCACAAGGCAGCTTTGGGGAAAAGTGGTTCAAAGTGGTTTTGTTGTTCGAGCCTTGCATCTTCAAGTTATTTTTATTTAACTGCACATGGCCTGTTTGGAACAGCACCTGGGAAAACTTCGAGGGATTTAGTTAAAACAGGGCATAATCCACACAAGTATTTGGGTGCCAAAATCTTACTGGTTTCCTTGGGAGTCAGGCACTTAAGTACGAGTGAAATGTGTAAAGCAGTGGTCACCAACCAATCGACCAGTGGATCGCAAAGCTTCTTCAAGTCGATCCTGGGCTGGGGAGACTGAGCATGTGCGTGCATGTGCACTCACCTGCTGCCCCCCAGCCCAGCAGGTCAGTCAGTGGGGGAGGGAAGGGGTAGAGGCCCAGGGGGCACATACAGTGGGACTCCGGGTGCAAAGCCCAGCCTGCAGCTGCAGCCGCCTCTGCTGTGCACAGATCAGGGAACATATGCCCCCCAAGCGTGGGGCAGGTAGGGAGTGGGGGCAGGCCCTGCACAGCCTGGGCGGGGCGGGGGATGGAGCCACTCACAGCTCATCCAGGGGGCGTGGGGAGTGGGGGGGGCGCATGCCCTTGGATCTGCATGTGGTACAGGGAAGGCTGGGGTAGCATCAGGCTCTTCCGGGCCGGGCCGTACTCAGGCCAGGTGGTTGCAGCAACGGTGTTGGGAGCGGGGCCATGGGGCTGGGGAGGAGGACTGTAGCCGCTCTACCCTCGTTCCCAGTGCCACTGCTGAGCACAGCATGGGCCAGGCCCAGCAGGAACAGCCCGGTGCAGCCTTCCCCTACCCCCAAGGACAGGGGGCCAGGGGCTGGCAGGCACAGGGGGAGGGTGAGCTGCAGCTGCGGGCTGGCAGGCAGCGCCTGGCTGTTCCTGCTGGGCCTGGCCTGAGCTGCACCTGGCACGAACAGTGGCAGCACTGGGAGTGGGGATACCGCCCCTCGCCAACCCCCTAGTGGCCTCGCTCCCAGGGCTGCCACTACAGCTGCCCGGTCTGAGCGCAGCCTGGCTGGGAAGAGCCCAGCACTGCCCCAGCCTTCCCTGCCCTGCATGCAGATCCAAGGGCACACACCCTCCCTGCCCTCCTGGGCTGTGTGCTGCCCCCTCTGTGCACCCCCTGGACAAGCCGCTTGCAGCTCTGTCACCACCCCTGCCCTGGCTGTGCAGGCCTTGCCCCTCCCTCACTGCTGCTGGAGGGGTAAGGGTGATTGAGGCCCCAGCAGTGAGGGAGGGAGAGGGGTAGGGCTGGGGCCTCAATCTGCCCTGCTCCCTCCACGGCCCTTTTCACCTCCATCCTTCTCTCCACACAGACTTACCTTCTGGGCGGGCAGGAGGCAGGTAGATATTTGGTTCCTCTTAAATTATAAAAATGATCTCTGACCTAAAAAGGTTGGAGACCACTGGTCTAAAGGCTCCTGTGGGATGTTGTGCTGTAAACAGGCACATGGCCCTGGCTTGGATTTGCAAGGCAGGGTCTCCCATAATTTTACAGCGCTATTTGTTTGTGACTAGAGCAGGGGTGGGCAAAATAAGGCTTGCCAATTGATTATATCCACCCTACAACTGCCCCTATGGTGCTCTGAATGGGACTGAGCCCTGCCTGGGGCAGCCTGTACCTCAACCCTGCCTGCACCCACCCTGTGCCTGCCAGTGGCACTACCCTGGCCCTGGCCAGCATGCACAGCTTCCCAGTGGGACTGCTGCCAATGCTGCTGCAGCTACCCAGGTACTGCTTGGCTCCCCTTGCTTCCAGTAGCTCCTCCTTCTCCTGCCCCTGTTGTGCTGCACCAGGCAGCAGATATTGTAGGGAAGTGGCACAGGTAGCCGGGGGCACATGCCAGGCACCACATGGCCAGCCAGGTTGGGGGGAAGCTGCAGCCAGGCAGCTCCTGCCCCAGCATGCAAGGCTCCAGTTCCAGTGTCTGGCTGCCTTCCATCCACTCAGACATCCAGTGCAATGAGCAGCTATCTGTGGGTGGCCAGGTGTCCTGCTGGGAAGGTGTGTGCACTGTCCAGGGGCAGGGCTGTCAGCAGGTGTGGGGTGGGTGTGGGAGAAAACCCAGCTTGGGCTGCCCCAGGTGGGAGTGGGCGGGATTTGGCCCAATGCAGAGTACCATGGGGGCAGTTGTGGGCCAGATCAGGGGGACCATATATATATATATATATATATATAGAGAGAGAGAGAGAGAGAGAGAGAGAAATATAGATATATGCACCATACTGCCTGGGTGAGCTCTGCTGCATGCGCCCTCTGCCCCCTCTCTTTGCCTTTCCCAACCCCTGACCAGGTTATGGGACCTAGACACATGTGCACCCCACCAACACACAACCCCCATGCCCCTCCGCCCCAATATACGAGTAAGTCTTTATTTTGAGCTATTATGCAATCACCTCTATATACACTACACAAAAAACAAATCCAAGCAACAGTTATTTTTAAAAATAAAATTAAAATATATTTATAGCAGATGTTTGATTTTTACTATATGATTTGTTTTTTATCCATAATTTGTTAAAATGATGCTTTCTGAAAGACTTTCTCTGTGCGGCCTTCAAGAGGTAACCAAAGCTCGTTAAGTGGCCCGCCAGCCAAAATATTTGCCCACCCCTGTTTTAGAGGAAAGTCTTGCAATTGAGCATTGGAACAAAGTCCTGACTAGGTGCATCTACACAAGACATTTACTGTGAATCTCCCTAATTAGCTCTGCATTGAAGTTTCAATGTTTACACATGCACCTCTATTAGGCTGCAGGAAACTAACTCTGCTGCAGGTTAGTACTTGTAAATACAAGTACTATCCTGCAGGGACATTCTTTAGGCATGTGTAGATGCTAACACGGCTGGTTGGGGCATGAGGGTGCTTCAGTACAGGGCAGCCTGCCAACTAGCCCTGCACTGGAACACCCTTGTGCCCCAGCCAACCCCTCTGCAGCACGTTGACCCGAGTCAGAGCTGCCCCCGGCTGGCAAGCTAAACACGCCCCCTGCCCCTGCAACCCTCTGCCAGCCAGGGCTGCTCCAGCCTGCCTCAACATGCTGCAGTCCCTGGCATACATGAAGACAAGGTGCCCAGGAACAATAAACTCTTGTGCAACATGTTCTGGAGTTTATTGCTTCGTGCAAATAGCATGTGTAGATGCACTCGCTCCGTGATGGGGGTGGCGGGGGATCGAGCCAGGCAGCCATCTTGCCTGTATCTTCTAACTCTCTCCTCATTCTCCCTCCCCACCCTCCTCCTTCAGGTTTCTCTTCTCTCCTTGGTGACATGCAGCCCTCCAACCACAACTACTACATGTACCACCAGCAGCAGCAGGGCCCTTCATCAGTGGGTGCTGCTCCCCAACTCCACACCCCCAACCCAGAGGGCTGCCCACCCCAGGGGGGTAAACAGCAGGGGGGTGATGGTTATGGCCCCCCACCTGTGATGTCCATGCACCCGCCCCCGATGCAGCATGGAGGATACCACCAGCACCAACAGCACCACCCGCACTCCCACCCGCAGCAACAGCAGCAGCACCAACAGCAACAGCAGCAGTCACAGGCTTCAATCAACAGTGCTGGCTTTGGTAGGTTGCAGAGGGTGGAGGGAGCTGCTGGGGCTGAGGGGACTAGGTGAGCATTAGAGTTCCCTGCAGTCCCCAGAACAGCCAAGACAAGGACTCAGCTAGTCAGTCGCCCCCGCTCCACCTCATGCCCCAGCACAAAGGGGGAGAAATGGTGTGTGTTTGTGTCGCGGGGTGAAACCCAGGTGTGGCTGGATTTGGAGACTTCATTCCCCTCCTGCCTCTGGAGAGAGGAGTCCATTTGTCCTAGGCTTGGGGTCCTGTTTAGAGTTGGAAATGAGGGTGGAGCCCAGACCTGAATGAACAGGGAGACTGAATCCCACCTTGCTGCCTGTGAGGCAGTGGGGTCCCCATCCAGGGTAGCATCAGATTTCATTGGCAAATGACATACCCAGTCTGGCTTCATTTTTAGTTTGCATCAGAGGGTGGAGGGCTGGTATGTTACTTCCTGATACAAGGGTCTTGCTTCCCTTGCATTCCAGCATTTCCCCCCGACTGGTGCTCCAGTATTGATTCCCTGAAGGAAAGCTTCAAGATGGTGAACCGGCTGAACTGGTCTAGCATTGAAAACTCCCAGTTCTCAGGTCAGTAGTTCAGCCCAGGAATTAGGGTATTAGTTTTGGGCTGGGGTAACTCGGGTACAATTCACTGCTATGCTACAGACTTCCTGTGTGACCTTGGACAAGTCACTGGAGTTTTGGTGACCCAGTTCCTTATGTGCAAGGTGGATCCATTAGTGTTCCTCTACCTCACAGAAGTGTTGTGCAGGTAGATGCATTGATGCTCAGGTGTTCAGGTCCTCAGACATCCTGGTAAGGGGGCTGTAGACATACCATAGACCAGGGGTTCTCAAAGTTTTTATGCTGTGGCCCGGAAGTGGCTGCGGCCCAGCAAACCGCAGTCACAGCCGACTGTGGCTGGAATTTCCGGCCAGAAGATAGGTAAGAATAGCCCCACCTCTGGGTGGAGGGTGGTGGGGCACACCCTGCACTGCTGCAGGCCCTGCAGAAAGAACCACGGCCTCTCTGCCTGGCTCTGGGTGGCCGTGGTTTGCCAGTCCACGGCCACTTCTGTTCCGGCAGCTGACTACTGCAGACCAGCATCTGACCCACTACGGTTTGGGGGTTGAGAACTCCTGCCATAGACAGATGTCAGATGAGTGGTTTTTGCACCATTGTTGCTTCCCACCCTGCTCAAGATTCAGACAGAGCACCTCAGATAGAGAAAAAGGAGGCTGTCCATATGATTTTTGGGATTAATCATAAAGTTCCTAAGGACAGGAACCTGAATAGATCCATGTCTGGATTATGAGTGAGGATGGTAAGATAGGAGCCTTAGCATGAGGGAGGGGAACTTCGGGGTGGAATGACTCAGGGACGGGAGGGAGCAGTGAGCAGGCAGTGATGGGACTTTCCCCCTGCAGAGCTGATGGAGAGCCTGCGCCAGGCGGAGCGGAAGAACTGGACCCTGGATCAGCACCACATTGCCAACCTCTGTGACTCCCTCAATCACTTTCTCACCCAGACTGGTCAGCTCCCTCACTTGGGGGGCCCACAGCAGCCCCCCCGGATCTCTGATTCTTGTGCCCTGAATAGCGGCAAGCAGGAGCAGTCCATGAATCAAGGTACCCAGCAGGGCAGGTGGGTGGGGGACCCGGGTGCTATACAAATGGTGAAGCGGAGTGTCCCAGCACTGTTCAGAGATCTGCCTGATCTCTGTTGTAGCTGTTCCCACAGCCGTAGGGCTGTAGGGAACAGCCTGATGTTGGAGAGTTAGGGATGTCTGAGGCCTAAACACAGCACCCAGTGGGGTGAAGGTGTTACCTGGGGCATAGAGTCGAAAAGCAAAACTCGAGGCAGGAAGAAAGTAAAAATCTCATAGGTATGAGGGGTGGTTTATGTAGACAGCAGGTGGAAAGAAATGGTGAGGTGAAGAGGTGCAGGGGAGGCTATTCTAGAGTGGGAGAAGGTTGATGTTCTTAGAGGGAGAAGCCAGAAAGAGCCAAATCCCGGCCTGGTTGCACTTGTGCTTCTGACACTGGACAGAGGACAGCTGGTCAGAATACCTCATTTTGGTATCATATGGAGATCTTCCCAAATGTTGTGGCAGCTGCAACCTGGCTGACCTGTGACAGGCCTGATGATTTTACCCTTCCTAAATCCTCCAGGGTGTGGGGGAGCTGTGATGCCAGTCAGTGGGGGTGAGCTGACTGCGTCACTAACAGTTCTTTTATCCCTTTCCTTTGACAGTGAATTCTTATGGTCAACCCCAACCTCCCCATCTCTTCTCTGGGCCATCTCCTATGTACCAGATTTCCACCCAGGACTCTCCAGGATATAATCGCCCAGGTAAGAGGTGACACTAGGGGATGTTATGTGGCTGAATGTTGAAGAACTTGCCCCCACACCAGCCTTGTCAGCCCTCCCAGAGCTCCTGCTGACAGGGGCTTCTACCTTGGCTGTCAGAGGAGAGTGAGGGGGAGCCCAGGCTGCAGAAAGTTCCCCCAAGAGCCTGGCATCACTGAAAAGAAATTCAGTTCCCCAACTCCTTTCATCACACATGAAGAACTTCAGTGCCCAGTTACACTTCTTTCCCTGAGCTGATTGCTCACACAGAGTGCTGGAGTGAGGACATTCATGTTGCCAAAGCCCCTTGCACCTCCTAGTCAGATGCTGACTGATCACTATTGTCAGGAGAACTCATGGGGCCAGAGCCTTAAACCCTTTAAGCAGTGCTGTGGGGAGGTTCACATTGCAATGGCTACTTCCCTTCCCCTTCCTGGTCTGGCATTGCCCAGAGGTGGCAATTTTGTGCTGCCAGAGCAGGGAGCTCATACTGCTCTTGCCCTGGCAGGACGCTGCCATAAGGAAACTCGTACTGCCCAGATCTTTCCTGTTTTGTTCCCAGGAGCCCACTGGGGGAAGAACCTGACTTTATTTCTCTAACTCCCGCTTTCCTCTTCTCTCCTTCTTCCCCTCTTTGCCCAGCACACCACCTGGTCCCTCGGCCTCCTGGGCCTCCGCCAGGCGCCAATGAGGAAATACCTGACGATTTCGACTGGGACTTGATCACCTAGTGCGTTACAGACTCAAGAGCCCCTCCTTTGTGAGGGTCAAGGGAGGGAAGGGGGCGTGGGGTGAAAGATCATAGGACCGGCTACCCCAGCCTCCCTGCCTTGCCTGTATATAGATATATATTCTCTATCTCTGCCAGAGAAGCCACCGCAAGATGCTGCCGAAGATAATCCTTCCTTGCGTCCTGTTTTACCTTTTTCTTCTTTTGTTTATTATAATAATAATTATTATTATCAATAATTGAGCACGGCCCGCCCCCGCTGGCCTCAGACGCACCAGAGCAGCTCTCCCACGTTGGGTGGTGAACTGCGTGAGGTGGAGGGCGGAGAGATGGCTCCTTGGTGCCATGAGAAGACCTAGGAAGGCTGAATCCTCGAGTGCATCTTTCTC